AAACGAATGCTAAAAATCGTCAAAACATTCTGGTGTCTGAGCCAGAGTGTCATCGAATTGCGATGTAATGTAAACAGAAATTATAGCAAGTTGATGTCAGTCAGCTTAGATGGTCCAAGCCAAAATTATATCGCATTTGAAGTTTCAAACTGAGTTAAAATAGTGGAAGAAAAGCCGTAATTATACTTATTGTTACAATCCATTTAATAAAATGCAACATTTGTTTGTTTTAATGAAAAAATCAGTTATTTTCATGAGAACGATTTGTTATTCCATCTCAATTTTTTAATCTCCAATCGCAATAACGTAAAGTATTATTACCCGCGAACCAATGAGTCAAATTTAAGAAACAACCCACTGTTAGAAAGCTGAATGGCTACGCTTTAAAATGAATGTAAACTTTAACGTTTTCGTTTATTATTTGTTTAGCAATTTACATTTCAGTCGAGGATTGCGCTTTTTTTGATACACCCTGTATAGTCTGCGCGCAGCCGCGCAGGGTAGTTAGTGCCTTACGTCTTCGCTGGTTGTTATACTTTAAAATAATTTTGTATGTACCGAGAAATCAATATTCCGAGTATATAAATATATAAACTGGGATGTCACACTGATAGCTTGTTTACATTTCCTGGAGCATCATGAAATCTTATGTTTAACCACGGTGGTTTAACCCATTAGCTGGCAATGCGCCCTTCCCTTGTCGAGCGCCAGAAGATTTTACTCGTCAGTGGTATAGAGTACTGCCAGTAAATGGGTTAACAAAACTATCTGCCAATGTCTCTTGTTAATCCATCAGCACAGTATAATGACCCCTACTTTAGTATTTACCCTGACCAACGCCAGACGATTTTTAATACTCAGTTAGTCGTAGGGTACTGTCAATAAATGGGTTAACAAGGATAACAATAATAGGATGTTTCTGAAGGACTCGTTCAACACCCTGTAGTTTGTCTTTTGCTGTCAAAGGCAGCATTACTGCCCTGTGGGTAACCTAGTATTTAACAATTATTCGCCGAAGGCGAGGTTGATTATCGGGGAATATTCGCCGAGACGAAGTCGAGGTGAATATTCCCCGATAATCACCGAGCCTGAGGTGAATAATTGTTTTAGTATTTTTGCACAAGTTTTTTTGTGTTTTTCTGGTCTGAATTCATTTTAATTTCGCTTATTTCTTTATAGATTCGGCTAGGCGCCATTTTGGAAATTTCGATTTTGTTATATTCACCTGTAGGTGAACTTATAACAGATTAATACGTCAAATTTGACCAATCACCTTGTATAGGATTTGTTCTGTTCACTTGTGCAAAAATACTAAAATATAATAACCCTGTGCCTAACAATGGTATGCATAAATTTTCTTTTACAAATGCATAAACATGTAACATGAATATATTAACATCTCCCCTGTTTAAATACCGGGTGGCGCAAAAAAGTTTCCCTGTTTGATTTGTTTTAACTTAAAAACTAAAAGAGCTATTACACGCGAATTACGTGCATTGCATTCAATATTGTCTAACTTAAATTTTGATATACGCTCTGTGTATTTTCGTGCAATATTGACCGAGAGAGCTGCGTTTAAACTTGAGTGACCATTTTTGAAAGTGTCGATCAAATATTAATACAGCAATAACCTGTGTTTAGACACACTATAGTCAGAAAGTACACGTTCCTTTTCAGAGACCTGCCCAACGCCGCCGGTATAACCTCACGTGCATTATTTACCCTTGCAGTTGCATATTCTAAAATATCGAAACTCTTTGGTCCTCCGTTAAACGTTAAACATTTATAAAAAAACACGTGACGTTTCTTTCTTGGAACATTAGAATTTGATTGCCCAGGGTTATTGAATATTTAGAATAAATGTCATAAATCTTTTAATCAAAATCAAAGTCATAAGTTAATTTCCATGCATTCCTAAAGACCTTAAACAAAAAAAGAACACATCCATCCAATAAACATTTTTAATTTAAACTTCACTTCATTGAAACGAATATTTACGATAAAATGGTAACGGTTATCAAATTAGTTTAACAGGCCGTTAACGTTTTAGCTAATTCTCAACACTTCCCAAAATGAAATCTGCTGTGTTGGTCAGGTGTAATGTACTCAGGTGAATAAGATGTTTGTGTGATGTTACTCTGAGTGTATATCCACACCGGGCAGGCCCGAAAAATATGCCTGGCCACGGCGGGATTCGAACCTACGACCTTTGGAATACTAGCCCAATGCTCTTCCAACTGAGCTACGCGGTCAGGACGGTTCGAGTAAGCGATATTTCGGAACTGAGTCTAGTTCCTTCGATATCAGTGTAATCTAATGTTTATGAAATCTGCTGTGTTGGTGTAATGTACTCAGGTGAATAAGATGTTTGTGTGATGTTACTCTGAGTGTATATCCACACCGGGCAGGCTTGAAAAACATGCCTGGCCACGGCGGGATTCGAACCTACGACCTTTGGAACACTAGCCCAATGCTCTTCCAACTGAGCTACGCGGTCAGGACGGTTAGAGTAAGCGATATTTCGGAACTGAGTCTAGTTCCTTCGATATCAGTGTAATCTAATGTTTATGAAATCTGCTGTGTTGGTGTAATGTACTCAGGTGAATAAGATGTTTGTGTGATGTTACTCTGAGTGTATATCCACACCGGGCAGGC